GCTGAACGTGCTGCCCCTAGATATTGTTATCAGGGAGGTGGCCGTGATGACGTTGCTTCGATTACAATCAGTAAATGATAAGCAGGTTGTTAAAATGGGAATAGTCCGGAGCGAGCGCTGGAGTGAGGCTGTTCGTAAACAACCCCTCCTTAAAGACTACATCACACTTACTTTCTTAGGCAAGCCACACTGATGGATTAAAGAAGGCTGGAGGCTCCGGAGCGAGAATTATCTCGCACAATCTCTAGCTACACCTTTCCACTTCGCTAGAGTCGTATTGCACGACTGCTCAAGCCGATATAACTGCTATAAACATAGCAGCCAATGCATAGCCTGATAGTAGACAGGCTATGCTGGCGGTTGATAGGCATCAAACTACATCATCTTTGGTGAAGTCCTATCGACAATCACTCGAGGAGGCAAACGTATAAAACAACGCCACGATAAAGTGACGAAAAGGACACATCGGAATTAAAGGACATGATCATGCGGACAGGTTGGCGAAACGGGCGGCTAACAAGTCACCGATCTCCTCTGAACCGTTTGTACCACTAGCTGTTAATACAACATCAAAGCTGATAAACTCCATATCCTATCGAGCTTTTTGCCATAGATGGGATGAGACAGCAATAGGTGTCTTTGCAAAGAAAACTCTGCTCTACCCTGACCGGAAGAGATCTACTCAGTTTCTAGCAAAATCAAAAAGTGACTCGAGGTTTCTCACCCACTTCCTGACCGGACACTGCAGGTTACGTAAGCACATGTTCTACATGAAGCTGACGAATACATCCGTCATGTTGTTTGTGACTGTCCCAACCTCGCGTACTTAAGGCAATCCACTTTTAGAGTACCATGGCTCCAAATTTCAGATATAAGAAACATACCATAGTTTCTCGGACTTTCCTATACCAGGATGCTGCTCTGTATGTGATCATAAGTCTAATAGTCACATAGAGCCAGTACAGTCTGTCAGGCGTAAGACCCCAATTTTTTCCACAAAGACTACGAGAAGTCCACAAGGATAATGTAGCCTTGTGTAAAACTCCCTGCAAATGTCCATTCCATGAGAGGGTTTTGTCCATAATTACACCTAGATATTTGACTTCCTTTGAGAAAGGAATTTCTTCACCTTGAATTAGTCCATCCAACTTTCGTCTCCTGGTGAAGGCCACAACGATTGTCTTTTGCGGGTTTATCGATAGATCCTTTCGGTTACACCAAGCGCAAATGGTATCTAGGGTCACCTGGAGGACTTTGGATATGCTTATTATGTACTAAGAAATGAAAAATAAATATATTTTGTTAGGTATTAGGAAGGTTTACATAGATGTCGAAAGTTTTGGAAACACAGCTTTAGTTCAATCTCTTACTACTTTTTTTAGCATCCACGTAATTTCCCAAGTAATTTCGCTACTCCACTTTCACTTAAAAACTTCAACATTTCTGGTGGAATTTCGTCACAACCTGCAGCCTTCTCCAACTTGAAAGCTTTCAAATACTTCTTCCTCTGATTATTTTCAACTTTATTAGGATTTAAGAAATTTTCAGTGTTCGCTTCATCTTTATTTGTTTTCCTACTTTCCCATTACTAAAATTCTTTGTGGCTTTGCCATCTTCATTTCAATTTCTTTCCAGTGTCTCACCGAACCTTTCCTAGCTCTGCCTCCAATATCATCAGTTTAGTCTTTATTCTTTGATTTTTGTAAGCCTCGTACTTTCTTTGGTTTATCTACTAAATATACTCTCTGAAGCATCTTCTTCTTCTCCCTCCTACCTTTGTCAATCTACCAAGTAGTTCATTTCATGTCTCGTATTCATTACTTGCAAACACAAACTTCTGAAGCCACTTCCTTCATCGTTTCCTTAAATTTTTTCTATCTTCGTTCCAGATGGAATTCTGGACATTTTGTCGTTGTATTTTCTTGATCTGTATATCTTAATTTTCACGTTTCTTGGTGTTTTAACTTTACTTGTTATATTGCCATGTTACAGTTCCAATACCGTTAAAATATTCGCACAACAAGTCTCTGTTCTTCTGGAACCTTCTTGCCGCATTGTTGCTTCCAACCCATCCTATATTTTGCAGTGACATTGGTTCAGCTCGCCACTGACCATTCATAATTTCCCCTGACTCTGACTGAATAATATCACCATATTCTGGAGGACAGTACCTTTCGCTTTGCTGTTCAATACGAAGGAAGTTATGGAAAATTTAATGAATTTCGTTGTTTTAAGTAGGTAGTGGTAACACTTCGGAATCGGAGCATGTTATAGAAAAATTTTTAGATCAAAAGTTGTTGCAAATGTTATTCTTAACAATATTGCTCTCTTGCATTTTTGCTCGCAGATGCGTCAATATCGAGAAAAATACAAAAATATGAAAATTTACTAAATTTCCTTGTTTTACTATTAGCTAATGGTAACATTCGGTAATCGAAGCATGTTACAAAAAAACTTTTAGATCAAAAGTTGTAGCAAATTTTATTCTTAACAACATTGCTCTCTTTTATTTTTGCTCTCAGATGCGTCAATAACAAGAAAAATACGAAAATATGAAAATTTGATGAACAAGTTGTCCTTTTCTACTTTTTCGTATCTTCCAAAACATTCAAAAAACGTCAAAATTATTTTTTTTTCAATTTTTACATCCTCTTTAACTATCCTAAACATCTTTTAAATCGATCAGAACAATTTTGATTCCCACCAATCAACTTTTTCAATTTTCAAAAATCTTTGAATTTTCTGGAAAACGTCCTGTTTGATTCTATTAATTATTATTGTCATTATTAATCAACCTAACTGCGTTTTTAATCGATTTGAACCATTTTGACACACACCAATAACCTTTTTCTATTACTTGATGTCTTTCAAAAATCTCCAAAAAACCTCAAAATCAATTTTTCTTAAATTTTTCATCCTCATTAAGTATCTTAAACGTCTTTTAAATCTAATTCTTAAACGTCTTTTAAATGGCCTCCGTAGAATTCGCCACCGCTGGCAGAGTATACCAAAGGCATTTTCAACGGATTGCCCTGGATAAACGATAGTTGAAAATGTTTTTTTCTAGCCCTAAGTACTGTCCGGGATATCGTCTCATTATATTTTCCATTAGAGAAAACGCAGCATCACCCACAACGAAATGTGGAAGTGTAATGTTGTTTCCAGGCAATTTTTTTGGAAAAGGGATATTTATGTTTCCATTTAAAAAAGCTCTCCCGAAAGAAGATTCTTTAAAGATAGTGCTGTCATGATTTCTTCCACTAGCTCCAATATCTGCTATAATGAAATCATAATTCGCATCTACACATGCCATTAAAATTGCTGAAGGTATGTTTATAATTGAAGAACCCACTTCCCGATGCTTTTGGTGCTTGCATATGGATGTGTTTACCATCAACAGCACCGATACAGTTGGATATGCTTTTTTTTGTAGAATGTATCGATAATTTTATTACTTAATTAAAATTTGTTTATAATATAAAATTAAACAAAATCATACTGTAGGGTTACTATCAACCTTTGAGCGGGTGAAATTGCACCTTTATTTGGTGTTTTTGCTAAAAAAAAGTCAAACAGTCTTAACAATTCCTTAAACTCTTCGAACGACATGCAAACATATTTAAAAAATTGCAAATAATCAAGCAGCGACAACAATTTTCTTTTTGTTCATTATAATCAAAACAGTTTCACTTCCGATTTCTTTTTTTTAATTTGGCATGAGTTGTGGCACTACTGTTTATATGTCAAAACCCTCCTTTAATGTACTGTGCTTAAATATTGCATGAACCAATCCCTTTCCTTATAGCTACAGCTAAAGCAAACGCTTATGACTATGACTATGACTAAAACTAAAACACTTTGCATAAACCCACCTTAAGTTTACCATCAACTACATCATTTTATCTAACTTACTTTCTTCAGCTTCTAGTTTTTTTAAGAGTTCTAATTATCTTCTTACTAGGTTTAAAATTTTCGTTCTCATTTACATTTCATCTTTTTCCCTCAACTAGTTTATCGTCTGACAACATCATGGGAAAAGTGAATATTTTTAAAATAGTATTATTTAGCATTATTTTATTATTTACATACTAAATAGTAAAGAGCATTGTTTGTTAAGAAAAATTTTGAGTTTAAATATCGAAGGCAACACACCCCTCACCACGCAGGTCTGTCCTAGTTCAATTCATTGTATAAATTGTATATATTGTTAAATTCCGCTAAAATTTGTTCTATGTAAATTGACACACGTGCCCCAATTTTTTTTAATCGCTGCTCTATATTTACATTTGTTTCGATTTCGATATGAATAAAAATCGAGATCAAAAAAACATTAAAACTCACACAAACATAAACATTATTTATAAACAGCATTTTCCGATTCACAATTCAAATTATTGCAAAACTACCTATTCAAGTTTATTGTTTAGATCTGCAAATATTCAAAGTTGCAAGTTAGTGATGGATGACTAAACATTTTTTTATTACTCATATTATTTCACCTCTTTCTGTTTTAATTTTTTTTTGTTTCATTTTATATTTTTAATTTCCGATACAGGCAAACACGCTGCATGGTTTGAAATAATTCATAATTGAATTAAACGACCGCATTCCGTTTAATGAATGGTAACGAGACTTTCGAGTATGTTCCGACAGCGTTTCAAATTAAATAGTTTTGTATACGGGAATTTAAATTATTAACTTTTCTCATAAACCAATTCTTATCGCCTTTAATTTTATTTTTATCGCATGTTCCTAAACTTTATTAAATTTAATTTGTCGTCTAAGAAAAACAACCAAATAAAACTATTTCCATAAAACCCATTTAAACTAACTAATCACGGTTAGAATTGTTTTAACTCTCCCAAGTCCATTAAGGACGTCATTCCGCCGAGGCATTAAACGTGAATAATGGAAGCATCTACTCAAGCTATTATCTACCTACCGCGAGATTTATGATCGTATATTCAACAAGATATCTAATACCTTTTTTGTTGTTTTAGATAACGCTACTTTTGGCTTTAATAATTACATTGGGTGCTTTAACGAAATTAATTCGTTCGGAAATTTTATGGATTTCTTATCATGTTGGGCAAGGTTTGCAAGGAATTTTCGTCGCAATGATGGTTACTTGTAATTGCCAAGTTTTGAAATTGTATACCAGGACGTTTAAATCAAGAGGACCCAGACAAGGTACGAGTACTTTCGGAAATATCGTACCAAGCGCAAAAACTTTGCTTGGAAAAGGAGTCTCAATTTCGAAATCAACAAGTTTGCAATTATTAACATGGGATCCAACACCCGATCCTGTATAAACGATTAAAAATTAAACGTTAAATCTTACTCTGTATAAAGATTATGTTAGAATTGCAAAAAAAATTGAATTTGTTAGCTAAAAATAATTATTTTTTAGTATGTAAATAGATGTTTTATACATATCCGTGTAAATAAATTATATTCTAATAAAGATTTTATGTCGGATATGATTTCGATTATTTTTTTAACCTTTCCTTAGATGTGTCACGTTTTGCTGCAACATCCAACACAGCTGGTGTGATGAATCGGGCACCCCCACACAGGAACTAAGTGCCTTGCCAAAAACCGTCAACTGTCGTATATCAAGGCAGGAGGAGTCCAGGGTTGTGGAGAAAGGGGACCGAAATAACCCCGACGTGTTAGTTTTCATAATAAATTTGCTCTCTACCGCCCTCAGCAATACATTATCCTTACACAAACGCCATACTGCCAACGAAATAAGGCCATTATAACAACTATTTCCCAACAGACATTGTTTATATGACATATTTACATTGTTTCATAAAACCACTTTATCGTATAACTTAACAAAAAGAATGTAGAGAAACAAAGTTAATAATTTCATACTGTAGTGACAATTAATATAACCTGATAATGTGATTGCATTCGATGTTTTCACTAAGATCCTCTAATGTTGTTGGCATAAACCAACACCTTACAAAATCATAAACCTCATAAAAAGTAATAAAACGGCATTAAATCTTCGTCAATAGATCAATTGTTTAACCAGCTATATAACATCGAGCTTGCCAAGTCCATCCAATTTTGTTCAAAATCTAATCTTCCAACATGGTAAGATATTGAACTTCGACCGTAACATGACGATTAGATTCATTGACGACAAAATATGACCAAATCACACCGGCATAAAATTCACAGTCACTTTTTGTGATTCTAATAGAGTCTCGTGAAGCACATGTGGTCCACTAACACATATTTTGCTTACAGACAAAGCCATTAAACCAAAAATGAGCTTCATCGTTGAAGATGATTTACTTTAAACTTTACCACAATCCAATCTGAAAAGTTTCGACGCTTCTAATGATGAACAGGCTTCAGTTCTTGAGTAAATTTGGTCTTGTAGGTTGTTTTTTATTAAATTTGTTTTCACCTATATGTAAATATAAATTTACGTTCGGGCTCTGAGACTTCTACAGCCTGTGAACATTCGTGTGGTTCACATATTGATTTATCGTTATAGAACTTTCAATAGCAGGGCTCGTACTTCCTAAAAATCTTTTGAGTCATAACTTTATTTTAAATGAGCTCAGAAAAACACACAGACTGTTTAAATGTGATACGAGAAGGATTTTATTCATTTTTATTAAGTCGTTTTCTATATTGATTATGTAAGCAAAACGTTTATAACAAAATGTAACAATGCAATTTGTTACATTTTGTACAATAAAATCTGCGACGATCTTTTGATTGCATTTCCATATACGATTTTGAAGTATGTTGTGGTGCAACAAGATAACCAGACAACCTACCGTATTTGCCTGAATATAAGGCGACCCTTACATTTTCGAATGATATTTGAAATAAAAATGGCTGTATTTACTCGAATATAAGGCGACCCCTACTTTTTGGCGTGACATTTTCACCAAATATCCAAAAGGATATTGAAAATATGAAAAAGTCGTGGATATAAGACGTCTGTCTTATACAGGCTGTCCGGTATCTTCCGCATCAGAGCATTATACGGTTGTAGGATACATTATTCTGAAGCGATCTATCTAATAAAATTTTTTCTAAATGTTTATAATAATCGCACGGGAACTGTTTAAAAACGACCAATCGGCAGATCGTAAATCAGACTCAGGTAATCGGTACCACCCTCGGCCGGTCCTCCGCGCCGTTCATAACTCGTTTCCCACGTCGTTTCTCACCAATAGATTCGACACGGGAAGAGAAATAAACTCTAAAATTTCGAAAAAATTTTATTAGAAAGATCGCTTCAGAATAATGTATCCTACAATCGTATAATGCTCTGATGCGGAAGATACCGGACACCTATATACACAAATATATTATACTTGCCTTAATGTCATTTATAAATATAATGTATGTGGCATACTATTAAGAAAACATAGGTAAGTTTCAGAATATGTACTTTATTAATAATAAATAAAACTATTTTCAAATATACTGAATAATAACACATCTCTTGTCATCATTCATTTCACATGCGTTTTCCACATAACTCTCTTCAGTACTCGATTCATCATTAGTAGCCCTAGTAGCTTGGTCTTACTGCATATCACCCCAGAGGACATCATCGTCAGCACCTTCTAAATCATTTGAAATGCAACATTTTTGAATCCCTTAATAATGCTTTCTGATGAAATTTCATTCCAAGCCCGTAAGATCCACTCACATTGCATTGAAACTTGTGATTTTTTTATTTTTCCACTGGAAGTAAGTGGATGATCATTTGACTGAAACTGTTTCTTTAAGTGATCCTTAAAGGGTTTATTAACTACAACGTCTAAAACCTGCAGTTGTGAAGTCATACCACCAGGAATAATGACTAAATCTGTATTTTGCTTCTTAATTTCTTCTCGCACTTGTAGTGCAAGGTGACCCCGAAAAGCATCCAATACAAGCATTACTCTCTCCCCATCATTCCTTTGTTGATTTGCCCAAACATTTCTTATCCAATCTATAACCAGTGCTTGATCCATCCATCCTTTCTCTCGTACCCTAATTATAATTCCATCTGGATATTTGTCCCTTGGCATGGTTTTTCTTTTAAGTACCACATAAGGAGGAAGTTTTGTTCCGTCACCAAGTACTGCTAACTAAGTTACTATTTATGGTATAATTTGAAACCATATCAAAATATACTGGTGTTTGATCCGCATTACATATCAAGTTTAAAGGATATTTGTGCTGTTTTCTTAAATTTATTACATAACGTTGATATTGAATTAGTGTTTCCTCAAAATATTTAGGAAGTTTTTGGGCTAACGTTGTACGACGTCTCAAACATAATCCACTCCTAACCATCATTCTTCTGCACCATCCATAACTTGCCTTAAATGTAGTTTGAGGGATATTTGTGCTTTTAGCTATTAAATTTCTTCAGCTTTTAATTAAATTGTTTCTCTTGTTGGTGGAAATCCTTGTCCACGCATTTCATTTATGAAATCTACAACAATTTCATCAATTTCTGGAAATCGACCTTTTTTGGGGGTCCTCGAAAGGATTCTCGTGTTGAGTGAGCATTCAAAAGATTTTCTTTTTGCAATCGCCAACGTCTAATATTGTTTTCTGTTGTACCATACTTTTTAGCGGCTGCACAATTGTTTCTTTTTTCTGCTTCACAAATAGCCATAATTTTAAAATTGGCATCATAGCTTGTTCGGATATTTTTATATATTTGACCTTTCGCCGTACCCCGATTTTCAACTCGATCACACATAACTGATGAGCAAAAGTTTTAGTATAAAAATTGTAACAAATTTTATTCTTAACAATATTGTTTTTTATACTTTTGCTTTCAGATGCATAAATATCGAGACAAATACGAAAAGGTGAAAACTAGATGAAATCCTAGTTTTACATCTTATTGTTAATAANTAGTGCAAGGTGACCCCGAAAAGCATCCAATACAAGCATTACTCTCTCCCCATCATTCCTTTGTTGATTTGCCCAAACATTTCTTATCCAATCTATAACCAGTGCTTGATCCATCCATCCTTTCTCTCGTACCCTAATTATAATTCCATCTGGAAATTTGTCATGGTTTTTCTTTTAAGTGCCACATAAGGAGGAAGTTTTGTTCCGTCACCAAGTATTGCTAACATAACCGTTACCCTCGATTTTTCATTTCCTGTTGTTTTGATTAGAATCGATTTTTCGCCTTTTTTATTTAAGGGTTAATTTGAAACCATATCAAAATATACTGGTGTTTGATCCGCATTACATATCAAGTTTATAGGATATTTGTGCTGTTTTCTTAAATTTATTACATAACGTTGTTATTCAATTAGTTTTTCCTCAACATATTTAGGAAGTTTTTGGGCTAACGTTGTACGACGACTCAAACATAATCCACTCCTAACCATCATTCTTCTGCACCATCCATAACTTGCCTTAAATGTAGTTTGAGGGATATTTTTGCTTTTAGCTATTAAAATTCTTCAGCTTTTAATTACATTATTTCTCTTGTTGGTGGAAATCCTTGTCCACGCATTTCATTTATAAAATCAACAACAATTTCATCAATTTCTGGAAATCGACCTTTTTTGGGTCCTCGAAAGGATTCTCGTGTTGAGTGAGCATTCAAAAGATTTTCTTTTTGCAATCGCCAACGTCTAATATTGTTTTCTATTGTACCATACTTTTTAGCGGCTGCACAATTGTTTCTTTTTTCTGCTTCACAAATAGCCATAATTTAAAAATTGGCATCATAGCTTGTTCGGATATTTTTATATATTTGACCTTTCGCCGTACCCCGATTTTCAACTCAATTACACATAACTGATGAGGCACTCTCAATAAGTCTAATCCGGACAAGAGTTTGCTAACGAATAACAAAAGCGCGCCTTATCTACCTAACTTCGCATCGGCCGTAAGCATTTAGGGGCTTCCCCTATTTACATAACCAGCAGGCTGGAAGCGAATCATACTCTTTGAGCCCGCTTATGCTTGCTAGTGCGCGAATACATCATTTTTGATTCCTCGGTAAAATTCCGAATATAAGGCGAGTAGTAATTTTGTGTCTAATTCTCTTGAAAAAAACCTCGCTTTATATTCAGGCAAATACGGTACTTGACATTTTAGAACAAAAGTTTTAGTATAAAAATTGTAACAAATTTTATTCTTAACAATATTGCTTTTTTATACTTTTGCTTTCAGATGCATAAATATCGAGACAAATACGAAAAGGTGAAAACTAGATGAAATCCTAGTTTTACATCTTATTGTTAATAAAGCACGGGATTCTGAACCTTTTAGAAAAAAAGTTTTAATAGAAAGATTGTAGCAAATTTTATTCTTAATAATATTGCTCTTTTATACTTTTGCTCTCAGATGCATAAATATCGGGTAAAATACGAAAAGGTGAAAACTAGATGAAATCGTAGTTTCACATCTCATTGTTGGGAGAGCATGGGATTCAGAACGTATTAGAAAAAAAGTTTTAGTATAGAAATTGTAGCAAATT